CTTTTTTTCTTTTTGCTTATGTGGTGCTGAGGAATCGAACCCAGGGCCTCATGCATGCAAGGCAAGCACTCTACCACTGAGCCACCTTCCCAGCCCCTCAGCTTTTATCTTTATATTTCAGTAAGTTATTTTGCTCTCACTGTTTTAACAAAAGAAAAAAGAAAAAAACAACAAAAATTCTTGTATATCTTGTTTGATTGGAGAATTTTAATGTTTTCATTTATCATTGTAAAACAAAGGACAATTTTATAACTTTTTTTTTTTTTGGTCCGGTCGTGGGGCTTGAACTCTGGGCCTGGGCACTGTCCCCCAGCTCTTCAGCTCAAGGCTAGCGTTCTACCACTTGAGCCACAGCACTATTTCTGGCTTTTTTCTTTTTGCTTATGTGGTGCTAAGGAATCGAACCCAGGGCCTCATGCATACAAGTCAAGTGCTCTACCACTGAGCTACCTTCCCATCCCAATTTTATAACTTTTTTGTGCGAAGCTGTTACATGTAGGGCAATCTGTCTTTAAGTAGGGGTAAATTAGTCTTAAAAAAAAAAAAAGAATCCTAGATAGTTTTCCCTTCAAGTCAAGCATCTCTGGATTTTAGTTGCAGACAAGTACTAAGAAAAAGCTTTAGCTAAATTTGGTAGTGTGCCTTATCCATTCATCCATTTATATTAATATTAGTGACAAATATATTGGAAATAAAACAACCCCAAACCAGTTACCTCTGTCAAGAAAATGTAGATAGGGTATGCTCAGCGTGGTTGGGAAGATGACCATAACTATAAACTGCCTGGGACCTCTAGGATATATAGCATGTTGTTCTTCGTTGCAAGGGTTGATTAGAAAGCTAGTTCTGATTCAGTGTCTCTTAGTGGATCCTGCATTAGACCTGCTTTCCATTCCATAGCAGGTGTTTCCCTGTGGTAAGGCCTGTTCATTCTATGCCTGAATGGCCAGCCTTTGGCTTCTTCCTTGGTTTATGAAAGTGCATGTCTCCAAGAGGGTTTGGATAGGACGTGTGGTTTCTCAGATACCTGAATGTGTGTTTGTGAGTACAAAGCACATGGCCTATGGTTATCAAGTAAACCTTCCTTGGCCTTGCTCCCATAGCAACATGCATGTAGTGGAGGGGCCCTGCGGCAGCCCCTCTCTCACAGTGGATTTTGTGAGGCACAGGATGGCTTCAACCTTGTTGGTCTTCTTCCTAGGACACGGAGAGCCATGGGAGGGGCAGTACCTTTCAAAGCTGCACTCACTGAGCGCTTGGCGCTGATCCAGCCCTCCAGAGAGCAGGTACAAAGGCTCCTAGCTGAGCATCCTCCACACCTGACCCCTGGCATACGGTAAGAGTAGCCTAGTCCTGGGCTGACCCCACTCTGCAGTAGGGTTTGGGGGGCACTCCTCCTTCTTGGAGTCTCTTACTGTGGAACTTTCCTCTGCATGGTTGTTTTGACACTTATATAAGGTCTTGTCTGGTCCTGCCCCATGTCTGCCTTCCCTTTCTCCTCAGGGAGGGCTTACACATTCCTCTGCTTATTTTTCATCTATTTTGTTGTGCCCATGGGCAGAATAGAGTTGTGGAATGTTTTTCTAAAACAAAGCCCTATGCATTAATTTCTAAGTGCATTTAGAAAAAAAATGTAAAGCTGAATGTGGTTGCTGCGCAACGGCTTGGAGGCTGTGGCAGGAGGATCCAAGAGTTTGAGGCCAGCCAAGGCTACATAGTGAGCTCCCCAAGAAAACAACAGAAGAAAAACATAGAAAATGTTAACTTCCTAGGAGATCTACCATGCCAGATATAGCTCACCCAGATACATTCAGGATAAAAAGTATATTATTTCTTTTTCCTATTTTTTTCTCTTTTGTCAATCCAATTGTACTTCTGCAGGGAGCTGGTGAGCCGCCTGCAGGAGCGCCATGTTCAGGTTTTCCTGATCTCCGGTGGCTTTAGGAGCATCGTGGAGCACGTTGCCTCGAAGCTCAACATCCCAGCAGCCAATGTATTTGCCAACAGGCTGAAGTTTTACTTCAATGGTGAGGTTTCAGCGGCTTTTAAACAAATCATTTCTGTTATTCAAGTTCCAGGCGGCATCTGTTGGAGCGCAGCATAAGCAGAGTGCATGAGAGTTAAATATTGGATTGTTCTGTAGACTGGATCTTCTCTTTTTTGGCACCCTGGCTTTGGTATCCATCTTGTCTTCCCTGGGCATATAATACTGCATTTTGTAAACCATTAACTCTAGGTGATCTGAATGATTTTGTACATGTTATATTTTATTTTTGTGTGAGTTCTCATAAATTCTCCCCTGAGTCTCAGGGAGAATTTTGATTATGGGCCTCGTGAGTTACAGCTACATTTGATTTGCCTCTGGCCTCCGGACGCCCTTGGAGTCATAACTGTATTCACGTCACCTAAAGTTCTCCAGTTATGTCAGGGGGTGGCTGATATTCTTAAAACCAAGTAGTATTTAAATGTGTCAATAAAACATTTTTGTGGAGTCTATCGATAGAGATAGAGATAGAGAATGAGAGTTAATTTCTGTAAGAATAGAAATAATTGAGAATAAGTTAGAATTGCCTCTTAGGTGGAACTTGATGTTAACATGTATTTCTTTTTTTCTTTCTTTCTTTCTTTCTTTCTTTCTTTCTTTCTTTCTTTCTTTTTTTTTAATTGGTCATGGGGCTTGAACTCTGGGCCTGCGCGCTATCCCTCAGCTCTTCAAGGCTAGCACTGTACCACTTGAACTACAGCTCCACTTCCGGTTTTCTGGTGGTTTATTGGAGATAAGAGTTTCACAGACTTTCCTACCCAGGCTGGCTTTGAACCGTGATCCTCAGATCGTAGCCTCCTGAGTAGCTAGGATTACAGGCTTGGATTACAGCGCTCCGCTGATATATTTCTTTATTGATCTTGTGACACTTCAACATGGTTTAGAATTATTACACTGGAGGGAGAGGGTAGAATTCACTCAAATGTTTCTGACTTAATAGAGCCACCTCTAAGGCTGGTTGTCACCTTAGGTCCTGTGACTGCTGAGGCCATTTTTAGGCTTTCCAGTGACATTTAAGGGAGGGGGCCCTTAGTTTTAGACTTGATGGATAGGCAACACTGTTTTGAATGTTTTTCAGGTGAATATGCAGGTTTTGATGAGACACAGCCAACAGCCGAGTCTGGTGGGAAAGGAAAAGTTATTAAATTTCTAAAGGAAAAATTTCATTTTAAGAAAATAGTCATGATTGGAGATGGAGCTACAGACATGGAAGCCTGCCCTCCTGCTGTATGTATTAAGGGTACTCATTTTTTTTTTTTTTCAGGTTGTAATTTTGTTTAGATGGGGGCTGGGATGTAGCTCAGTGGCAAAGCGCTTGCCTAGCAAGTGCAACGTCCTGGGTTCGATCCCCAGTACCAGAAAAGAAAAGACAAAGAAAATACAGTTAAAAAAATTTTGTTTAGATGGTTTGGTACTACCTAAGGTTTATGAGACATATTAAACAAAAAGAGCTAAGTATTATTATAAAAACACAAAACAAATTCATTCTCATTATGTCAGTTTTGTGTGAGCTCTTACTAGATGAAGAAATTTACAAATAAGGAACTAAAACTTTCTTAAGTTTTATTTTTTTGCAAGTAGTAACAAGGATTTATTTTAGTATAACAGGATAAAATGGGGAGAGATGGGGGAAAATGTAATAGACATTTCCTGCAGACTACAGAGGAAATGAGAATTAAAGATTCCACTTTTCAGCTGGGCAGTGATGGCTCATGCCTATAATCCTAGCTACTCAGGAGGCTGAGATCTGAGGATCATGGTTTGAAGCCAGCCGAGGCAGAAAAGTCCCCATGAGACTCTTATCTCTAATAAACCACTCAAAAACTAGAAGTAGAGCTGTGGCTCAAGTGGTAGAGTGCTCACCTTGAGCACACAAGCTAAAGAACAGTGACCAAGCCTGAGTTCAAGCCCTAGGATTCACACAGAAAATGAAATATAGATATATATGTATATATATATACATATATGCATATATATACATATATATGTTTTATACACATATATTATAAATAACATAGCTTATGCATTTATAATAGGTATATATATATACACACACATCCACCTATACCTCTATGTATATTTTGTAATATGGATATATGACCATGGGCTGCTGTCATTTAAAGATTATCTCTTGTTCTTTTCCTTCTTAGGATGCTTTCATTGGATTTGGAGGAAATGTGATCAGGCAGCAAGTAAAGGAGCGTGCCAGATGGTACATCACTGATTTTGTGGAGCTTCTGGGAGAACTGGAAGAGTAATGTCAATTTCTATATAGCTCATAACAAAGTCAGATCGATTTTTGAAAGCTACATGGGTGATACTGTTTTCTTACAATTGCTTATGACAACTTTTTATATAAAGTTGATACTGATTATATATTCAAATAAACTGTAATTAGGGTTCCTAAATCACTTAAAGAAAAAACAACTAGTTCTAGTACTGTTATAACCATTAATTACCAAGAGTTTTATAATTGAATTTTTCATGTCTATTTTCCTAGCTGTATTTTACCTGAATCTTTTACAAGTATATAGTAAACATCTTCATGCTTGAAAATATGGACCCAGCAACCTTAAGTGAATATTGGTTTGCTCTTGAATATCTAAATAAAAGCTTATTGATTAGAAGAGATTTGTGCAGTTTTCCACTCTGCTGTGTATGTATTTCAACATTGGGAGTGCCAAGTAGAGACCACTCCAGTGAAGGAGGGAGATTTTTCTGTGTATAGACAGTACAGTGTTATGCCCTTAGCCCTCTGCATGCAGCACTGCCACTGACATGGGGTACAGAGTCTTCTTTTGCCTTGTAGAATTCATTACATATGGAAGGTTAGCAAGATTTTAAGCAAAAACCAGTGGAGATTCAAAAGTTCTGGTCTTGCCGGGTACTGGTGGCTCACACCCTAGCTACTCAGAAGGCTGAGATCCGAGGATCGCTGTTCAAAGCCAGTCTGGGCAGGAAAATCTGAGACTCTTATCTCCAATAAACCACTAGAAAACAGGAAGTGGTGCTTTGGCTCAAGTGGTAGAGCACTTGCCTTGAGCTGAAAAGCTGAGGGACAGCACCCAGGCCCAGAGTTCAAGCCCCACAATCCGCCCCCCTCCAAAAAAACCTTCTAGTCTTATAAAAGGTTTTTGTGTTATTGTTGGTGGTGGTGGTGTTTGTTTTTGCTTTTGTATTTTTCTTTTGTCTTTTTAGGAGGAGGCAAAGTGGGGACAGGGGGCAGAAATGGAGGGAGGAAGGATGAACAATGCAGTCCTGGTACTCGGTAGATACTGTGGAAAATCATCTATGCAACCTATGAGCAGGGATAGGGTGGGGGAAATGGGAAAGTTAAGGAAGGGGTGGCATTGTCCAAAAAGAAATGTACTCAATACCTGACTTATGAAATGGTAAACCCTTCCTACATTGTTTTCTCTTTCCTTTTTGTCTGAGACAAGGTCTCAAATGCAGTACTGATGTTCTCGCTCATTGAGGAGTCAACTAAGCTGCACTCCCAACCCATACAAGACTTTTTTTTTTTTTTTTTTAATGCTGGTCCTGGGGCTTAAAACTCAGGGCCTGGGCACAGTTCTTGGGCTTCTTTTTGCTCTACTTTCAACTTTTTTTGTAGTTTATTGGAGGTTAAGAGTCTCAGGGACTTTTCTGCCCAGGCTGGCTTCAAACTATGATTCTCAGATCTCAGTCTCCTGAATAGGATTATGTCGGTGTTTGGCTTTGTACACTTTCATCACAACAATAAAATTATATTTAAATAAAGGAGGTGTATGGGCTGGGAAGGTGGCTCAGTGGTAGAGCGCTTGGCTTGCATGTATGAGGCTCTGGGTTCGATTCCTCAGCACCACATAAGCAGAAAAAGCCAGAAGTGGCACTGTGGCTCAAGTGGTAGAGCACTAGCCTTGAGCTGAAGAGCTGAGGGACAGTGCTCAGGTCCAGAGTTCAGGCCCCACAACTGGCAAAAAAAAAAAAAGGAGGTGTATACAGACCTAATATTTAACAGAGGTGTTCAAAAAAACAAACATCTCGTTTTTTTGAGAAATACCAATTTCTCTAAAGCTTAAGGTTTAAAAGATAGGTAATAAAAATAAGACAACAAAATAAAATAGGTTTCTGAAAAATTAACAAAGATCAACGTTTTTCCTAAAACATTAGGAAAGAATTTCTAATTGCATGGGTAGTCCATTTCATTTTTTTTGGGGGGGGGTCTGGTCGTGGAGCCTGAACTCTGGGCCTGGGTGCTGTCCCTCAGCTCTTCAGCTCAAGGCTAGTGCTCTACCACTTGAGCCACAGAGACACTTCCAGCTTTTTTTTCCTGCTTATGTGGTGCTGAGGAATAGAACCCAGGGCCTCATGCATGCAAGGCAAGTGCTCTACCACTGAGACACCTTCCCAGCCCCCCATTTCATTTTTATAGATGGTTTGAAAGGGAAGATTTGAGAGTCAAACTGTTCATGTTGATGTTGAGCAATACTAAGAAAGGGATATTTCAGTGTTTTAGAATTATGTGATGATGGAAATGAAGGGGTTAGGGTTAGGAAGAGACTTCCAGTGGGCTGTGTTGGAATAATTACATACCAGAGGCCAGAAGGTCCTGATGTACCACTGAACCACAGCCCTGGCCCTGATTTTTTTTTTGCCAGTCCTTGGGCTTGAACTCTGGGCCTGGGAGCTCTCCCTGAGCTCTTTTTGCTCAAAGCTAGCACTCTAGCACTTGAGCCACAGCACCACTTTTTTTTTCCCTGTGATTAGCTGGAGATGAGTCTCACAGACTTTCCTGCCCAGGCTGGCTTGAAACCACAATCCTCAGATCTCAGCCTCCTTAGTAGCTAGGATTTACTGACGTGAGCCACCAGCACTTGACTATGATATTTTAATATTGGAAACCACTTCAAAATGATTAGAACTTCCAAATAAATCATTGTTTAACCAAATAAATCAATTGAGTCAAATTTCCCCCAAAACCAGAATTTGGGACTGGGTGTTGGATGCCTGTAATCCTAGCATGAAGGAAGCAGAGGCATCAGGTTCTCAAAGTTCCAGGCCAGCCTGGGTGAGACCCTACCTCAAAAAAAAAAAGAAGAGAGAGAAAGAGGAAAAGAGAGAGAGAAAGAGAAAGAAAAAAAAGGCAGCTTTTGTAGAAGAGCTGTGACATTAGTTTGGCCACAATTAAATAAGCTCACCAACAGTAAGACTGTTGTTTCCCAATTATACATGCTTCCTGGCAGCTCTCCTAGATACTGCTTTGTGATGTTTACAGGCCAGGTATCTCAGAAGGCACTAAAAATGGCCTCAAGAGGGAGGGAGGATTGAGGAGCAGGCCTCAGGTCTCCTTACCTGGTCCTGACAGCCTGGCTTCTATGGAGCAGTGGTCTGGACAGAGAGGTCCCCAGTTAATTTGCCTAGGGTAATCTGATCTGCTGAGAAATCAGAGGTTCACAGGGACCTTCTATACATTTACAAATCCTCTCCTCTGGCCTGCACTAAGTAAGCTGCTCTGAAGTAGCGTGGACAGTCATTCCTTTGTGTGTTAGGTGAGTGAGTTGATGCAAGAACTATCCTAACCTCCTTTATACTTTCCCAACACTGGGCTTGCTGGAAACAGCTCCAGGACTCTCCCACTTACATGGGTGTCCCAGGGTGGATTCACAAGGCGGTGGCAGTAGTATAAACATCTTTCTTTGAGATACCACTTTCTATTCTGATTACAAGAATTGTTGAAACAGAAAAAGTTAAGGAACTGAAACTTGTCATGATACTAAGTTGAAATTCAGTAAGTTAGCACTTGGAAGACTGAGGCAGTAGGATTTGCAAGTTTAAGACCAGCCTGGGTTATATAAGGAAACACCCCCTCCCCTTATTTTTTTATTTTTATTTGTTGGTAATGGGTCTTGAACTCTGGGCCTGGATGCTATCCCTCAGCTCTTCAGCTCAAGGCAAGTGCTCTACTATTTGAGCCACAGCTCCAATTTTGGTTTTCTGGTGGTTTATTGGAGATAAGAGTCTCATGGACTTTCCTGCCCAGACTGGCTTTGAACCTCGATCATCAGATCTCAGCCTCCTGTAAGCTTTTTGCTTGTAAAAAAGAATGACCTTCTGCCTTTCAGGCTCTGCTTCAACCCGTCTCCTCTGCTTTGATGGCCTCTTTAATGACTTCTGTAGCTTTCCTGGAAGCAGCAATTCCCTTGTGGGGAGCCTATATAGCCTGCCCTTCCCAATACCAGGGGCAGGAGTGAGTCAGGGCTTCTGGACATGGAGTGGCAGGCCTGGAATGGCTTTTCTTCTACAGCCCTCAGCACCTTTCTGGCCAGATTAAGAAAACTTGGCAAGTGTCTCAACCACAAATGACATTATCTGTGTTCATATTTCAGGTGTTTTCATGTCTTGTGATTTTACAGCCCCAAGATCAGCAGTGTGAGATTCTGCTGTGCTTTTGTTCCCAAATGGGCAACGTGCTCAGTGAGGTTCTGACTGCTGCGAGGTTACAGGAACAGCTGGAACCAGGCCAATGATTTTCACTGAATTCTTTATCTTTTATGTTGCTAGGGTTAAAATTTTACCATGGCCAGTAGAGTGTCCATCACTCAGCTAGTACTTATTAACACAGGAGCAGTGTTAACATTAATTCAGAATAGACAAAATCTTACTGCTTTGCAAAAAAGTGGCTTTCATTTAAAAAAAAAAGAAGAAAAAGCTGAGCGCTGGTGGCTCATGCCTGTAATCCTAGCTACTCAGGAGGCTGAGATCAAAGGATCATGGTTCAAAGTCAGCCCAGACAGGAAAGTCCACAAGACTCTTACCTCCAGTAAACCACCCAGAAAAGCAGAAGTGGCACTATGGTTCAAGTGGTAGAGCACTTGCCTTGAGCTGAAGAGCCGAGGGGCAGCACCCAGGCCCAGAGTTCAAGCCCCACCACCAACAGAAAAAAAAAAAAAAGCATAGTTCCATTTGTTTACTTTTCATTGGTCAGAATTTGTTTCGCAGGTGACTTGCGTTCCCTGCCTGTCTCATCTGATTTTGTTGTTTGTTACCACGGGTTACTGTACTTTGTATAAGCACATGGACACTATCTCACCCAGCAGGATCCAGGCATAAAATTTTTTTTTTTCAGTCATGGGGCTTGAACTCTGGGCATGGGTGCTGTCCTTCAGCTCTTCAGCTCAAGGCTAGCACTCTACCACTTGAGCCACAGCTCCACTTCCCGTTTTCTGGTGGTTTATTGGAGATAAGAGTCTCATGGACTTTCCTGCTGGGGCTGGCTTTGAACCGTGATCCTCAGATCTCAGCCTCCTGAGTAACTAAGATTACAGGCCACCAGCATCGGGCCCACTTCCACTTTTCTAATGGTTAATTGGAGATAAGAGTCTCATGGAGGCCTGGGAAGTTGGCTCAGTGGTAGAGTGCTTGCTTCACATGCATGAGCCCCTGGGTTTGATTCCTCTGTACCACATAAACAGAAAAAAGCTGGAAGTGGTGCTGTGGCTCAAGTGGTAGGGTGCTAGCCTTGAGCTGAAAAGCCGAGGGACAGTGCCCAGGCCAAGTTGAGCTCCCACAACTGACAAAAAAAAAAAAAAAAAAAGTCTTATGGATTTTCCTGCTTGGGCTGGCTTTGAACCTGGATCCTCAGATCTCAG